CTTGGCGGCCGCGTCGGCGGCGGCGGGCTGGAGGGCGGACAGGGCCCGCTGCGCCTCGGCCGCCCGGCGGTCTGCGGCCTCCGCCTCCGCCTCGGCGGCAACAATCCGCTCCCGCAGCGCGGCCGCCGCTGTCTCAGCCTCTGCCTCGACAGCCGACAGGCGCTCGCGCAGAGCCTCGGTCGCCGCCTCCGCCTCGATGGCGCGGCTCTGCGCTGCCTCGGCCTCCGCCTGCGCCGCCGCCGCGCGCTCCTGCGCGGCGGCCGCGGCGGCGCCCGTCCCAGCCTCTGCGGCCGCCAACCGCTCCAGCAGCGACGCCTCAGCCGCCTGCAATCCATCAAGCCGCCGCCGCGCCTCTGCCGCCTCCGCCTCCGCAGCCGCTGCGCGCGTTTGAAGCTTGGCCGCCGCCGCCTCGCCCTCGCTGCGCGCGGCCTGCTCCCGCGCCTCCGCGGCGGCGACGCCCTCCCGCAGCGCCGCGGCGACCGCCTCTGCAGCTGCCACGCGCTCCCGCAGGGCGTCCGCCGCAGCCTCCGCCTCCTCAGCCTGCTGCTGCACCGACCGCAGCCTCTCGTCCGCCGCCGCAGCGCGCTCAGCCGCCTCTGCCGCACCGGCGCCTGCTGCCAACGCCGCGTCAAGCTGCCCTCTCAGGGCTGCCGCGTCTGCCACGGCCGCCGCGGCCGTCGCCTCAAGCTCGGACGCCCGTTCTCCCGCCGGCGCCGCCCGCTGCTCTGCGGCCGCCGCCCGCGCCTCCGCCGCGGCGAGCGCCTCCCCGGCCGCCTTCTCTCGCGCCTCGCCCGCCGCCGCCGCTTCGCCGGCACCTGCCGCGCGCGCCTCTGCGGTGGCGGCGCGCTCCTCGGCGGCGGCCGCGCGCTGCTGAGCGTCAGAGGCGGCCGCCTCCACCGCCGCGGCGCGCGCCTCCGCTTCGGCCGCCTTCTCCTCGGCTGCCGTTAAACGGGCAGCCGTCGCCTCGACGCTGCCTTCCGCCTGCTTGAGCCGCTCAAGCGCTGCCGCTGAATCCCGTTCCGCCGCCGCCAATGATGCCTCTGCCGCCTGCGCGCGCGCCTCCGCCGCCTCCCCCGCCGCCCGCGCCCCTGCCGCCGCCGCCTCTGCAGCAGCCAGCGCCTCGGCCGCCGCGGCGCCGGGCCCCGCGACCGCCGTCGCCTCCGCGAGCGCGGCGCGTGCCGCGGCCGCCTCCCGCTGCAGCTCGTCCACGCGCGCCCGTGCGGCCTCCAACTCGGCGCGTGGGCCACCATCCGCGCCACCCTCTGCCGCTGCCGCTTCGAGAGCGGCCACCCTATCGACCAGCGCGTCCCGCTCCGCGCGCGCCGCCTCGGCCTGCGCCGCCGCCGCGTCCGCGAGCGCCCGCAGGTCGTCCAGCTGCACGGCAGCTGCCTCCTCCGCCCGCCGCGCCTCTTCAAGCGCCGCCGCCAGCTGGCGCTGGTGGTCGTCCATCATCTGCTCCGCGATCGCCGCCGCAGCCCTCGCCGCCGCCGCCGCGCGCGCGGCCTCGTCCGCCGCCGCGGCGCGCGACGCGCACGCGGCGCACGCGGGCGGCTTCTCAGCGACCGCGCCGTCGGAGGGCTGGGGTGACAGCGGGCCGCCGCCGCCGCTCGTGCCGGCGCGGGCCCGAAGCGCGTCTACTTCCAATTGCAGCTCCCCAAGCCGCCTCAGCGCGTCCCTCAACTCCATATACAGCTTCCGCGCCAGCAGCAGCGCGCTCTTGCCGCTGCCAGCGTCCGCTGCCCCCGCGAAGCCGCCGCCGCCGCCGCCGCTGGTGGCGGGCCCGGCGGCGGCGGGGTCGCCGGCGAGGGAGGAAGCTTCCAGGTTAAGGGCTGTGAGGAGCTGGTCGAGCCCGATGGACAACTTCGAGGGGAGGGGGGTGGGTGGCGCGCAAAGAGATCAGGTGACAAGGCTCTGGTGCGGAGAACAATCACATCAGGGCCGTCAAAGCGGCCCGGCGGGCCCGAAACAAGGGGCCGGCCGCAGCGCGGCGGGGGCCCCAGCGGCAGCGCGACCAGCCAGCGCCCCAGACGCTAGGCTGCACTTTGCAGCTGAGCACACAGGAGAGCCGCGGCCGCCCCTTGCGGCTACAGAGGGATCGAGAACAATCAAATCGCACCCAGCGCGCCCCGCACCTCGCTGCTGATTGAGAGAACCGACACCGCGTCCTCGTCAGCACCCCCCTCCCTCGGCGTCCCGCCGCCGCCGCCCCCGCCGCCCCCGCCACCGGCCCC